CTGTGCTGACAGTGTGGAGCCTGCTGGGGTTCTCTCTCTCTCCCTCTCTCTCTGCCCCTCCCCTGCTTGCTCTCTCTCTCTCCTCAAAAATAAATAAACTTTAAAAAACTGCTTAAATTAAAAAAAATAAAAAAAAATAAACAAAGACTTTAAAAAACTAGCAGTGGTTAAACGGCAGCAAAAGGGGAAGTGGCATTAATGTTTTGTGCTTCAGGTCTACATGTTGGTAAAGGATGATGTTTCCTTCTTTGCTTGAAATGTGGCTTCCTCTTGCAAGACAGTTAATAAGAAAGACTTGGCTTCTGGTTAGAATGAGTAGAGCCATTGTACTTGCTAGATCACCAGCTCATTATGAGAGGATATAGGGGCCCCTGGGTGGCTCAGTTGGTTAAGCATCCGACTTCTGCTCAGGTCATAGTCTCATGGTCCATGAGTTCAAGCCCCCCCACCCTCCCCTGCATCAGGCTCTGTACTGACATCTCAGAGCCTGGAGCCCGCTCCAGATTCTGTGTCTCCCTCACTCTGCCCCTCCCTTGCCTTGCTCGCACTGTTAATTTCTATCAAAAATAAACATTAAAAATTTTTTAAAAAGAAAGGATATAACTCAGGAGCATCTGGACGGAAGAGATGCACAGGGTGAGATGTGGGGAAGGGATACAGTGTTTCCCCACCCTCTGCAGGTGCACCACCAAGCTCCCCAAATCCCCACATGTTCACCAGCTTGGAAGCTCCCTGTACCCCATCCTTTTGGGTTTTTATAAGGGCTTCATTACACAAGCATGCTCGATCAAATTGTTGCGGGCTGGTGGTTGAATGCAATCTCCAGCCCCTCTCTCCTCCCAATAGGTTGGGGGATGGGACTGAAAATTCCAACCCTCTATTTTGGTGGGTTCCCCCTGGCAACCAGCCCCAATCCTTAGGTGCTTTTCAAAAGTCACCTCATTAGCTTAAACCCAGTTGTGGTGACAAGGTTCTTGCATGAATAACAAGACACCCATTTCAGTGTCTACGAATATAACAAAAGATGTTCCCATTGCTTTTACTGCTCAGGAAATTCCAAGGGTTTTAGGAGCTCTGTGCCAGAAACAGGAGGAAGCCCAAATATATATTTCTTATTACAAATCACAATGTCACAGCAGAGCTAAAGGAAACCAACAAAGGATTGGGGGGAGAAGTTGCTAGCAATAGGAGGGAAGTCTTTTCAGTCCTTGGCTTAAATGGGCAAGGGGATGGAGAATCTGGAAAATGCCTCACCCTGTGACAGAAGAATCTAATCATTGCCCTAATGAGCAATCTCTGCAGGAGAGGAGGAGCTTGGAAAATAAAGATTCCCATCTCTCTCTCTTCCAGCCTTATTGTCTCCTTCCACTGCTACCATTGGTCAAACTGGGTTGGAGACAGAGCACAAGAGAAGCCTGGTAATTCAGTCCCTGCAGGACAACCTCTCGGCACAGAGCAGGGTGAAGAAGGATGGAGAACAGATTCTTTCACAATCACCCAGAATGAATTGTTATGAGCTTGTTAAAGTTTGAGAAGCAGCCATACCCTGCCAAACTGTTCCCTAGACCGGGTATGTCCTTCTTTGGATTGGATTGTGGAACTGACTGGGATTCTGTTGTGGTGACAACGTACTGTTCCATCAAGGAAATCTGAGATATCCTAAGTAGGGATTAAAGAAGTTCATCGATGGATTCTTGTGTCTGATGGCTTCTGCTTTTGTTGTTTCCCAGCTTGTTCATCACCTCACAGACCACTCTACCATTTGTGTCTCTCTCTGGGGCTTCACGTTCAAACTCTCCAAGAGAGAAGCTGAATGGATTGGCCAGTCAGCATTCAATATGGAGAAATACTCTAAGGTAGATTTCTCTGCTTGGGCCACCTCATAGGTTGTTGGTGCTGAATGGTCCCATCAATTGTGGTTAGAAGGTGAAGTCACACAGTACCATGCCTGACAACGTGTGTAAAAACTTCTTTCAGTCCACTTTGTGAAGTGTATCAGTTAGCCTTGGCTGTGTAACAAACCACCCCCAAATTTCATTTGCTTCAAATAACAACCATATTGTTTTGTTCATGATTTTGTAGGTTGGTTAGACATTTCTTCTGGTCTAGTCTAGCCTGACTGGTCTCTGATGAGCTCTTTCATGCATTTGTGGTCAGTTGATGGGTCAGCTGGTTGCTGGATGATCTAGCATAGCCCTACTCCTACTTCTGTCACTGGCAGGTTGACAACCAGAGTGGTGGATTGCTAACTAATGAGACTTCACTCTCTTCCTCATGGCCTCTCATCCTCTAGTAGACTAGCTTGGGCTCCTTCACATTAAGATTTTGGGAATCAAGTGCAGCAACAGAGGGCAAGCCCCACTAGGCAAGAACTTTTCAAATCTCTGTTTCCATCCTGTTGGCTGTTGTTCCAGTGGCTAAAGCCAGCCACACAGTCAAGTCTAGAGTCAGCATAGGAGGACCATGCACAAAGATGGAGTATTCTTGCATATGTTTGTGCAAATAGTCTGTCATATGCAGAATAAGGCTGCAAGCACTTAAAATGCTCAGAATTTCAGGGACTTCTCTTGGGGTCAGGCATTTCAGGTTAATGTTCAGATACTTTTCATGTTAGCTCAGCTTACAGTGATAAACCTAAGCTCTCTTTCATTTGTCATTCAAAAGAAACATTCTCAGTATCACATGGTGCAAATATTTTGAGTCTTACATGGAGGGGCTAACTGCCTGTGGACCATATCTAAGTGATTATTTGAATATTTTACTGCATTGACTCTAATTAATTTACAAAATAAATGTCAGGGATAATAAGGTAGATACTTGATAAATGCAACAAAATCAAGATAAGGAGTAAATCACTAGATAAGGATTTACTCCTTGTGTGTATTTGGACTTGTTAAACTAGGGTTTTTGTTTTTGTTTTTTGCTGTACCTGTGCTGGCTCTTAGAAAGATTCTTCTAATATGAACTAGAAGAAAATTTCAGGACACCATGCTAGTGGGACCAATCAAGACTTTCATCAGCCTAGTAGATGAGTATAATCGGGATGAGTGACCCTATCTCAAAGTCCAAGAATATGGGTATGTCATTTTCCCAAGATGGTAAACTGAGAAGTGACACCATAATAAGGAACTGGATGGTACATAGATACACTGGCACAGTGGGATACACTCTCCCACAGCCTGGCCTTCTCTCTCTTGCTAAGAAGTTCACCAAATTAAAGAAGCCTCTTTAAGCTGGATCCATTTTCTTGGTGTGAATGGAAGTTGATGCCACTCTCCATTACCTGATTTTCCACACGGAACACCATCATCATTTCCAAACTCATTTTCTGAGACACTTCAATACGATCCACCCTAACGTAACACACTATTTAATTTACCCAAATGAAAAGAGAACTAAGGGACCCTGCATTATGCAAGCTGCCCAGTCAACACCCCCAGCCTTCTCATCCACCCACGAGACTCCTTGAGAAATTGGAGTTCCAGATAAGAAGCAATGTACTTCCTTCTTCATTCGCTCTGATAAGCTGCCAGGGTAAGAATCAAGAACCTTTCATCTTGTGGGTGAGTGAGAACTGATTAGTGTCTTTCCATAGAAAATAGAAAATGTTTCACAGGTGATGTTGGGTCTAGGAAAATGTCTGGTACTGGAGAAATGTTCAAGGAGACCTCGTTCTATATCCTGTTGCTTTGTTTGTTGAAAGCTGCTATTGTAGGGATCGTTTTCTAGCTTCTGGTCATGCAACACGTGGTAATGCAGAACATACTGAAATGCCTTAGTTCTCTCGACAGATGATGAATTATATATTAAGGGGCTTCAGGTGAATTAAAATCCAGGCATACCTTATTTTACTGCACTTTGCTTAATTGCACTTTGCAAATACAGCATTTTTTTTTTTTTTTTTACAACTTGTAGGTTTGTATCAAGAAATCTATTGGCACTATTTGTTGGACAGCATTTGCTCACGTCGTGTCTCTGTGTCACACTTTGGTAATTCCAGCAGTGTTTCAAATTTTTCATTATTATTATGTTTGTTTGGTGATTTGTGATCACTAATATGACTCTTGAAAGCTCAGATGGTGGTTAGCATTTTTCAGCAATAAAGCAATGTTTCTGTAATGGATGTACATTTTATATGGATATAATGCTATTGCATTATGTAATAGGTTACAGTATAATGTACACATATTTTTATATGCACTGGGAAACCAAAACATTTATTTGACTCACTATATTGAGGGGGTCTGGAACCCACTCTGCAATATCTCTGAGGTATGTCTGTAATAAAGTTTCAAGAAACGAGCCTGAAGCAGACGTAGCATATAACCAATTTGTTACTGAAAATGAAGAAAACAAGACCTAGAAAGACAAATATGTTTACTGAGGTCACATAGTGAATTAACAAGCTTTGTCACTCCCCACACCTCACCTCCACGATAAACACATCAGCACAATTAAATGCAAGGCTCACTGTCAAAGGATTGTCTATTTCGTTCACAGCCAAGTGACTCACTGTACAGATCAGTGTTTTTCCAGCTGTTTGTGACCCACTGGAGGGGGACAGAGTCATGAAACCAACTTAGTGGGTATTATAACCAGCATTTTAAAAGAAATGCAAGGGACTATAATTATAAAATATCAAATGTAGCATGTTAATTTGTGAAACTTGGCTCAGTTTGCCCTCTCTCTCTCTCTCTCTAATGAAAATATATTTCTTATAGTGGGTCATGGTCAAAAATCTCACCGAGTTAGCATTCTAGGTATGTTAAAAAAAAAAAAAAAGCCACAGAAAGACAAATACTGTATGATCTCCGTTATATGTCGGAGTTACAATACTCAAATCCATAGAAGCAGAGGGTAGAACGGTGGTTGCCAGGGGTTAGGGGATGGGGGAAATGAGAAGCGATGGTCAATGGGTCCAAAATTTCAGTTACGCAAGATGATAAGTTCTGGAGATATACTATGCAACATGGCGCCCATAGCTAACAACACTGTATTATATACTTACAATATGCTGAGGGGATAGATCTTATGTTAAGTGTTTGTATCACACATGTATGTGTGCATACACATAAACACACACAAATAACCACAAAGGGGCAGGAGGAAACTCTGGGAGGTGATGGATATCTTTATGGCCTTGATGGTGGTAATGGTTTCATGGATATATACTTAAGCCCAAACTCATTGAGTTGCACACATTAAACATGTACAGCTGCTCACATGCCAATCATACCTCAGTAAAGTGATCTTAAGAAACCCAAAAGAGGGGCCCCTGCATGGCTCAGTTGTTTGAGCATCTGACTTCAGCGCAGGTCATAATCTCATGGTTTATGAGTTCGAGCTCCACATTGCGCTTACTGCTGTGAGCACAGAGCCTGCTTTGGATCCTCTCTTCCCCCTCTCACTCTGTCCCTCCCTGGCTCATGCTCTCTTTCTCTCTCTCAAAAATAAATAAACATTTAAAAGAAGACCCAAAAGACCAAATCAGCATTGCTAAAGGTTTCAGTGGTTCTGAAAAACATGATCACCTCTTTCACATAAAATGCTCATTTTAGTTAAACCAGTTTCAAAAGAGGCTTCAGAAAGGAATTATCCTCATCTAGGCATGATTTTTTTTTTTTTTTAGTTTTTTAAAAAGTAAGCTCTCTGCCCAACATGGGGCTTGAACTCACGACCCTGAGATCAAGAGTCACATGCTCTACTAACTGAACCTGCTAGGTGCCCGTAGACATAATTTCTTCACACGAAGAGTTTCCACAGTATATTTTGGAAGTAGGTTTTTGGAAGGAAAGAGAGCCATGAATCAAAAAAGGAAATGGATGTTGAGAGAAGGGAAAGCATCCAGGAGATTACAAGTATAAGTCCTCCAAGATTCCCAGGTACAGAATTTGACTTGCAATTATACGATTTGTCCATTGCAGATATTAAAAGCTGGTGGCCCACTGGTTCTGCAATTAGGGGAAAAGTAGAACTGAATGTCTTTAGATAGAGCCCAAAATCTTCAGTTCTCCACACTCCTCCTTGCTTGCTTATTTATATTACATGTTGTGCACCTAGGAAACGCTGAGGCTTAGTATCTCATTGCACTTTATATGTGGGTTTTGGACTCAGCCTGACTTTTCCAAGTCTTAGCTTTGCATTGTGCTAGCAGTGCCACCTGGAGCAGGTGACAGACTCTCTTCAAGCCTCAATTTCATCACAGGAAGAGTGGGAAGATATTCTATGATCTACATCACAAGGTGGTTGTGAGCTGTCAATGAAACAATAGTGTCAAAACACTTAGTAAGGGACTTAGCCCACCACAGAAGTTCCATAAATGTTTTGGGGACATGAGAATAGAAGGCTAAGAGAAGTATGTGCAGCAAAATTTGACTTGCATGCTAGATGCCAGCACATAATGTGTGACTAGCCTGTTCAGGCCATCGGGACTAAGAGTTTTTTCTGAAAGGGGCCTTCTGAGGCCACTACTTTGTTCCTGGGGGAGCTTCACAGGACCCTGTGAATTCTCAACGCCTCTTGATAATGGATCAATCCTTAACACACAAAGTCGTGGTTATAATTGGCGTCAGGAAAGAGACATGGGAGACCTCCATCACTACCATTGTCATCACCACCACCATCATCACCATAACCACTACCACAGTCCAGCAATTGCACTACGAGGTATTTACCCAAAGGACATCAAGTACAGATTTGAAGGGGAACATGCACCCTGATGTTTATGGCAGCACCGTCAACAATAGTCCAATGATGGAAAGAGCCCAAGGCCCATTGACTGATGAATGGATAAAGAAGATATAGTGTAAATATATACATCAAAAATAATGAAAGCTTGCCATTTGCAGCAACACACATGGAGCTAGAATGTATTATGCGAAGTGAAATATGTCAACCAGAGAAAGACAAATACCATAGGATTTCAGTTATATGTGGAATTTAAGAAACAAAACAGATGAACATATGGGAAGGGGAGGTGGGGAAGAGGAGAGAGGGAAATAAACCATAACTGACTCAGCAATAGAGAACAAACTGAGGGTTGATGGAAGGAGGTGGGTGGGGGATGGGCTAGATAGGTGATGGGGATTAAGGAGGGCACTTGTTGGGATGAGCACTGGGTGTTGTATGTAAGTGATGAATCGCTGAGATCTACTCCTGAAACCAATATTGCAGTGTATGTTAACTAATTAAAATTTAAAAAAGAAAAAAAAAAGGCAGAAATCAAAATGTTTTGAGAAGCATTGGCCACCTGGCCCCTGAAGTCTGTGACCCTCCGAAATTGACTTTCATGGGGTTTATTCATTCCAGGAACCCTTGGCACGTCCTGTTTGAGAGTGCTTCTCAATTGTTGCTTCTGATATCTCAGTGCTATGGGAAGCAGGTGTCTGCCCCTGCTCTCAGGTGAGTGCAACAAAGAATTCTCTCTTCTCCCCATGACCCTGATATCCCAGTCTGGGTTGCTCCCCCAAATTTGTCACTTTGTGCAGAAATGACTGTGTGAGCCAGTCCTATTAGAAACTCTCACACTGAGTCTCTTAGTTGCTCTCCCCAAGCATAACTAAGACAAAGACTTGGATGTAAGTAGTTCACTTGGGAAGGGATCCCAGGAGGCACACAGGAGGGAGTGGAGGATGCCAGATGGGACAGAGACAAGAGCAGATGAAGGATGTGTTAACAATGAGTTACCTCTGTGGGTAACTGCCATTCAACACTGCTGGGGAGCCCCCAAGAGGGAATACCTAACGTGCCTTAGCAGGGCAAAGAGACTGGGCTATACACCCTTGGTCCTCATCTCTCACAGCTAGATAGCCACTCCAGCATAACTTCTGAACATTTGGGGCTTGTCCCCCACAGGCTGCAGAAAATGCTCTCCCACTGAAAGACAGAGTAAGTTATCTGTATGGATAGGAGCCTTTTCAGGGGAAGACTATAGGGGAACACTTCAAGGGTCTGCTATAGTGATCAACCACCAAGAGGGTCCAGGGTTGGACCACTGTAGTTTAGTACAATGACCTGGGCCTATACCTACCCTTCTGCTCTGGGATTTTGAATCTGCAAGGTATGGGTTAAACCAGGCTTGTTAGACGATCTTATTAGCAAGCATGTGATGTCCAGTATATGTCAGGGGTGGGCAAACTTTTTCTATCAAGGGCCAGATAATTACTGTTCTCAGCTTTGTGGGCCATGTGGTCTCCCTCTGAACTCCTCAACTCTGCACTGCCATACAAGAGTACCCCCAAGCCTTCCTCCAACTGATGGGCATGGCTGTGTTCCAATAAAACTTGATTTATATTGACCATGTAAGAACTGTAAAAAACATTCCTAGCTCACAGGCCATACAAAAACAAGCAGTGGTCTGAATTTGGCCTGTGGGCCATAGTCTGCTGACCCCTGCCCCATAGGGACCAAGTAATATTTCTTTTTTGTGAAGAAAGCATTCACAAGGAAATGGCTGGTATTTGGGCTTTTTTTTTTTTTTTTTTTTTTTTTTTTTTTTTTTGATTTACAGAAATGGCCATGTCATATGATTCAGCCTGTTATCATGAATCCTTAAAGGTCATGTTTTTGTCAGTACCCATAATATGAAGCATAGTAAATATTACAGAGGAGGCAGAAAGAGCCTTATCTTGTCCAAGGGATCTGTCTCATTCTGTGATCATCCAAACGGGCCACGGGCAGATTTCTTACTCTTCCCCCTTCCGTGTGGTACAAATTCAAATTACCTCCATCTTACTTGTCATACTTAAACCACCTGGGGGCTGGTGTTAGCTGTGAAAGCCAATTACTCCAGATTTTAGCAAAGGATCCCAGCACAGCCTGCTTGTGAGGAAAGAGAAAAAAATCCAAGAAAAAACATTTTTCAAGTGCCTGGTTATTTGCCACCTATATGTACCTTGAGGGAGTGATATTAGGAAACATGTGGAAAGCTTTCTGCATTTCTAAATTCATCCCCAACTTTAAAAAAAAATTTTTTTTTAATGTTTATTTATTCTTGAGAGAGAGAAAGAGACAGAACATGAGTAAGGGAGGGGCAGAGAGAGAGGGAGACACAGTCTGAAGCAGGCTCCAGGCTCCGAGCTGTCAGCACAGAGCCCGATGCGGGGCTCGAACCCACAAGCCACGAGATCATGACCTGAGCCTGAAATCGGTTGCTTAACTGACTGAGCCACCCC